ATCAAACAACTAAATGAATCCAATATTTGTGCTGATAAAACCCTCTGTTTAGCTAAAATTTACACGAATGCTACATAATTCTTTCAGATCTTGTGGGAAAAAGAAAGTTAGGTTTACTCTGTGCTTCAAATCCTTGACAGGAATGATGAGTTGGGTGCGTTCTAAACGAACGACAACGAATCACCGGGAATGAGAAGCGAAAGACCCTCTGCTTTTCAGACACAGAAATCTTTAGTTTGGACCATATATCCAAATTGCTGGTTCGAACCCCGCAAGATGATGACTTTCCTTTCAAGTAAAATCTATTCATGAGTTGATGCAATATCTGAGTTTGTGAAATATGATTGCCAACCGTAATTAATAATAATGTGAGAGCAGTTTGAAAGCTAGGTGTGCATCCAAAGAAGCTGGAAACTCTCAAATTAAACCACTTGGTTATGCCGTGAAATTGGATCTGCAGCTTTTTAAAGCGACCCAGAAGCTTATAAAACAAGTAGGGAAACGCATAATAAACTGATCATGCTAAAAAGTTCCTGAATTTGCCCACCAAACTGAGCTTGCATCTCTCAACAAAAATGAGATTCACGAAATAATGCTTAACTTGAACTATACAATCCAACACAACAGAGGATTTCACCACACTCTCCCACAAAGTGGTCGTGATGACTAAAACTTTGATCGTTCTGAGAGGACCAATGCATTGTTCTGGGCAGATCTTAAGTGAATGGTTGCCTTCGATTGACAAAATGAATCAGAATATTTTGGATTGGATTCATCATAATGATCTTAAAATGTAATTTTTATTCATGGATTGTACAGGGAAAGAGATTTCATATATAAGCAAGAGGTAGTAGTCAAGTTGGTTTTTCCGAATGTGTATAAAAAGTCCAGCATTTTCCATCATCTCTACACTACTACTACTTTTTTTTCACTTTTGTTACGAGAGAAACTGCCTGTGATGCCAGCAATAAGTAACTTGAATTATATGTCTCACCAAAAAGGGGGGGGTGATACCACAATTCAGGACTTATATTCACAGCATAGATTATGCTAAAATTTATTAAAGCTTTTATATTGGGGAAAAAAAAAGACACAAATATACATGCTCTGTTTGCCTAAGTGTTTGAGGGCTTGTTAAGTAGCTTTTGAAGCTATAAGTGCGGTTGCTCTCTCAGTAGGATGTTTGGCTCAGAGTTTAACTAATCTCACTTATAATCAGAAGCTGTGATTTTTAAGCCCGATTGAGGTTATGTTTGGATTGCAGTTGGAGAAGCCAAAGGCATATGGAAAAGCGTGAAACTGAGGTTAGTGGCTTATTGTGGCTCAGAAGATTGTTTGGATGGGACTTCTTTTCTAACTGACTTATGGGAAAAAGTAACTTTTCTAACTGACTTATCCAACGCAATCTGAATCAACTTTTCTAACTGACTTATAGGAAAATTGTACAAAGCTTACGATCTAATTAGTCATGTGATTTCATTTACTTTAATTAGAGACCAAATAAATTTTAATTTATATTCTTGTTTATCCATTATGTATATTTAATTAATTATCTACAATGTGTTTTCAAATTTTTCTCCGTAACAAATATTTTTATTTTATAATCTCACAAATAAACTATTTATATTTTACCATAATAATTTTATGTATTTTTTAAACTATTATCACATTAAAAACATATAATTTCAAACACTATTATTCAATAAAGTCTATGCCATTTTCAGTCATTTACAACCAAACTAACTTTTCTATTAATCATCCAAACAACTTTTAACTTTTTCAACTGACTTTTTATAAACACCTATCCAAACATAAATCATATTACACTAAAACTGACTTTTACTCCAACTTCAGTTACAAAAGTCAGTTAGACTATAAGTCAGTTTTGTCCAACGCCAATCCAAACATACCCTGAATAAGTAGGAGAGTTCTGCTTTTAGCTTATGAAAGCGGGCTTTTAAGGGGACTTTGGGGCCATTGATCATCACCTTTAATGTGCTGGGAAAGGTTGCCGACTGGACTATCACTGTTCATGTTCTAATTTTTCAAGCGAGCAAAACAAGGGAGGAGCTGGAGGCCGACTGAATATGGAGCTGTAGGGATTTGCAATATTTTTTTTCATTTTTCTGATATTTTCAAATTTAATTCACTCAATAAATTTTATTTTTTATATTAAATTAATTTAAATTTATTGTATTATGTCAATTCATTTTTTATCATATTTTACTTTATATTTAAAAATATTTCTTATGATTTTTCTAAAGTTTTTAAATTTAATTCACTCATTAAATTTAATTTCTTCATATTAAATTATTTTAATTTCATTGTATTATGTAAAATTATTTTTCTTAATTATGTTTCATTATTTATTAAGACCTATACCCATTTTGGTTATTTTATAACTAAACTTACTTTAACTCAATCATAATCCAAATAATTTTTTACCAATATTACTTTTACAAACTAACTCTCTAAACTCCAATTCAAACACAATTCAAATTATCTAATTTAATTTTTACTCAATTTTATTTTTCTAAAAATCAAATTGATAATAAACTACTTTTCTCACTAATCCAAACAGACCCACAAATAGTTGGGCTGTGTTGTGCGGTCCTTACCTCGGGATGCCAAGTCTAAGGTGAAGGTATATTCAGCTTAGAAAGAAAGAAAAAGAACTACTTTATTCTATTCTTCTTCTTTTCTCTTTTAAACCTTGTTATTAATGAGCTAATAATATATTTTCTGTAATTTTCCGTTTGAAAGTAGATATTTTTTCCCAATAAAATAATATCTTTGGTTTCACTTCATTGTCCCTTGTTTAATATTTTCTTTTTGGGCAGCATAACATTCTGTGTCACCCTATTTATATTCGTACGAAAATATTTTATGCAGTGAATTTGCGAAAGCACTGGTGGGGCAAGGCAATTCGAAGTTCGTCCTCGTCGACCGTGGCCCTTTGCGTAGTGCCCTCTCTTTCTCACTTGGAACGGGGGTTGCCTGCCCTGGCTATTCATCCTTCATCATCTTTGCTCCATCGGCTATCGGTTAGCTCTTCCATTTACAGTAAGTCCTCTTATCTCGAGATTCCCTTGACTTTCTCTCTTACTCAACACCCTTTTTTGGTTGGAATTGTTTTGGGCATGAAAAATAATACTTTTTTTTTAAATGTATTTAGTTGGTTAATTTGTTCTGTTTGCATTCTTCTGGATACATACGATTTAGATGCTTTGGTTCGCACGTTGTGGTTCTTTTTCTAATTCAATTGGAATTTTGCAATTGAGTACCGCGCTGTTGAATTGACCAATGTTTCTTTATGTTAAAGCCCGTTGAAGGATGGACATTTTTGTCAGGATTGAAAATCTTGAAACCTGTTAACAATAACTGCGAAGAAAGAGAGTTGATACAACAGTTTTAGGCATCATCCCTTTGGTTCCCCTTCTTGCGAGGGTTCATCCTTTGAATTCATTGCTACCGTTTTTCAAGATTTTATGGTGCTCAATGCCGAAATTTTAAAACTTTATCCTAGATGCTTGTAGCAGAGACCAATATTTCAATGTCCATAAATGAGGTACGTAAAAACAATTAAAAACGTACAAGCAATACACATGAATTCAATAGGATTCGCAGGTATAATAGTATTTGCATGATGCCGGGGTCCCAAACATAGGCACACTAGATTAAACTCAAAAATTTCTGGAATCCCAATTCTCCCCCATGTTGTATTTGTTAGTTGTTGGTCTATCTTACTCACTCAGGGGACACATGGCTACAACCCAGAACATTAGGGGTTTCAATCCCTCCTCACCTACATTGGCCAAAAAGGGAAGTTGCTATGCTTGCAATGTTTTCCTAGCAGTGCCGCTTGCAAGCATGCTTGCTATGCCCATGCTTGCAAGCTTGCTGTCACCAATGGGGTTGCATTTGTTCTGTTATTTGTTAGTTGATGGTTTATCCTCCTTATTTAGTGAGCACTTGGCTGCAACCCACAGCATTTGGGGTCTGAATCTCTCATCACCCTCTATTGGCCAAAAACAGAAATTGCTAATATTTTCCTAGTAGTTCTACTTGCTATGCTTATGAGTTTGCTGTCAGAAATGGTGTTGTCTTGTGTCTATTAAAGAATGCTTGGGCGTCTGTTCTGGGACCCCAAAACAGACACCCAGACATACGCTTAGTTGTCAGTTTTTATTACTTAATCAGTGAGCACACACCATATTTTTCTGGCACGTAAATAAACTATACATATGGTTCAAGTGACGAACTGTAGTTCTATTACTCATGCAGTTCATCATATTTGGACTTTGAGAATTTTAAACTACGGTAGAAAAAAGAAGGTTTGATCCCAGTTCAAATGATCAATAATTTTGGTAACCGAATCCACAAATGTTCATTCTATTAGGGAATGAATAAAATTATGAACCTTCACTTAACAACTTAAACTTTTGGGTTGATGTATTCTTCGACTAAATTTAATATCCATAATTCCATATTATTTTTATTTGAAGTATGATAATTTGTGGACTGGAATCACCTAGTCATCCGTGATTTGTCCCTATATAAGAACATTCACTGGAACTTTTGGTTAGACCTTTAGCTTGAAAATATGAAGGTAATGAATATTCATATTGTGCATTTCATAATATAGATCTGATGCATTGCTTTCCTGATAAAGTTTATTTCTCGAATTCTGTTTGCCATTTATGATAAAACTCATCATTTAATAACAAAAGTAAGGGTGTTTTCTGGGACGGGATGGAAGTATGGAAGTGGGATGGCCTTAGCCATGCCCCATCCTGGATAAGATTGTGAAAATGTCCTATTCGAGATAAGCTTCCTTCAATAATGAATATGCCATGGGTCCTGTGACCATTTGTTTTGTACATTTGCTTTCTCTTTAAAGTAGGCAACCATTTTTGCTTTCGCTTATGTCATAAATCATGACTATGGGTCCATATCCCCTGCTATCGGAGCAGAGGGTATTTTGCTGCAGATAGCTTGGAAGTGTACGATCTCGATGTCTGGTTGAACGCTAGTCCTCAATCTGACAAATGGCAGCCAGAGGCAATATTCCAGCAGCATATGAGGGGCGTTCTGTCCAAGCTCCTGGGATGATGCGGCATGGTCCATATACTGGTGTAAGTTCTTCTGCAGGCCATCCTTCTCTAGAGGCCCTGCCCCGTCAAATGTTGGGGGATGAAATTGCTTCTCAGGAAGAAGAAATAAAGCGACTAGTGGGCGACAACCGTAGGCTGGCAAGTACTCATGTGGCCTTGAGAGAAGAGCTTGTCGCTGCTCAGCAGGAAGTGCATAAACTGAGGGCACATATTAGGAGCATTCAAACTGAAAGTGATATCCAGATCAGAGTTTTACTGGATAAGATTGCAAAAATGGAGAGAGACATTAGAGCTAGTGAGAATGTAAAGAAGGAACTCAAACTAGCCCATCTTGAAGCGCAGAGCTTGGTAGCCACTAGACAAGAACTGAAAAGCCAGATTGAAAGAGCTACTCAGGAATTGAAGAAAGTCCGTGGTGATGTCAAGAGTTTGCCAGATCTGCAGGATGAACTGGACAGCTTAGTGCAAGAACACCAGAGATTACGGTAAGTCATTTGCCTATTATGGGTTTCTTCCTTCTGCGTGTAGACCAGAACTGATACTAAACTCATTGATGAGATTTTCTCCTTTTTATTGTGAGAATGCACATGTGATTGTTGGATAAAATTGTGCAAAGGGAAAAGAATGCATACTAATTTTTCCCCTATTCTTTGGTACACAAGTTGCAATGAACCCGGCTGCTGTTCATTGGATTGTCTAAACATGGTGAGACCAGAATGCATTCATGATGTGTTGTCTTCAAATTGGGTATTTTGAATAGCATTATGACCGTCTCCTATTGTTATGATCTACTATATTAACTTGTACTTTGTGCAACAGACTCCTGTCTCGTAAGTGTGTGTAAGTTGTATTGATCTCTTTGTCAGATCACGTTTTTAAGTCATATGGTATTTATTATTGATGGCTGTCTTTTTTTTTTTTTTTGGCTGGGAATTGGTGGCAATTTTTATATGCACATAATCTTCCGACATTTGCTTTGGCATTACATCCTGTTTCATATTTTCTTTGTTGCTCTTCATTGGTGCTTTATCTTTTTCTTTTTCTTTTTTTAACTTTTGACCTTGTTTGCTGATTCTTTGAGAATCTGGTTGGGCACAGTGCAACCTTTGAATATGAAAAGAACAAAAACGTTGAGTTAGTGGAGCAACTAAAAGCAACAGAGAAGAATCTGATAGGAATGGCAAGAGAAGTTGAATTTTTACGAGCTGAGATTCAGAATGTTGAGAAAAGAACACATGGTAACTTTCTATCTCCTGGATGCTGATGTCTTATTATCTGATATATGCGTGCATTTCCATCTTTGATGCATTAATTCTACATTGACACAGCACCAAATCCGTATGGTGCTGCTGCAGCAATACCCAGAACCTTTGTTGATGCCTATGGGAGAGCTCAAGTAGGAGAGACAGCACCAGCGTATGGGGCCGGCAATGGCCGGCAGCTTTGACTAGGGCTGCTAGGGCTGGACTGCTTGATTCCTCAGTTCCTAGGAAGTGATGTTTCGTGAGGAGCAATCAGATGTAATTCTTGATTCTAGCTGTTGCTAGTATAAGCCATGAATTGATGGTTATATTGTTTATATATAAAACACAGATCTGATGGCTCTATTGTAACCCCTCTCTATATAATGTCAGTGAATTTTGTAAAGTGCTGAATAAAATTTGTAATGGCCTCTTGTAATGTATTTATTTAAACTTATTTAAAAAAATTTTAAATAAAGAACTCTTTTTTTTACTGTTTTGTTTAACCTAAATACACCCCAAAATTAATGTAGGGAGGAAGTGAAAGCTTCAAAGCAGTTCTTTTTGGCTCATTTGAAAATTTTTTAAGTAGTTTTTTAATCGTGATTTATGAAATATAAAATAAATATTTAAGAGAAATTTTGTTTTGATTTATATGAAAGATATTTATAAGTGCTTGTATAAATGATGCTGAACAAGTATTAGACTTTGTGCAAGGATGAGGTTTTGGGAGGCACCCCATGATTCTGCCTGTTTTATGGGCTTATGTGTCCCAAAAAGAACGGGCCAGTTACCGACCATTTTCATCTGTGATGAGCCAGCCCTTCATGTAGGACCCATCACAGTTCAGCTCGACCCAGGAGCTCGGATGTTCTGTCCCTTTGATCTGTTACATATCAAACACCAATGGCCTAATGACATGCGAGCTCCTATTTGTAGAGAAGTTTTTATTATTGCATATGCTGCACCAGATACCAGCATTTAGGTTAGATCATCGTATTTAGAAATATTATTCTCAGGACCTTTAACCGAACAAAGACTTTTTTGGGGGTAAATAATACATTTGATTCTTAATATAAAACATAATTGATTAATTTGGGTATATTAAAGAAATTAGTTAAGTTATTTATTTGAAATAAATAAATAAAATTTCTAGGATACAGTTATTAATCATATATATTAGTTAAAACTCCTATTTGATTAAACCTTTAACATGTGTAAATACTATAAAGACTATTTTGAAAAAAATAAATATAAAAAAAATGGATGAGAATATTATATTTAGAATCAAACAAAAATTCAAACTAACTTTTATATCAAGGATTAAAAATAATATATTGACCCGAAGCTATGGACGAACTTCATTCTTTCTTGGGGTGCTTGTGGATTTTCACTCAAAAAAAAATGTGGCCAAGTAAGTCTAACTCTGATATTTTATCAAAAATAATAATTAATGGTCACTGAGAACTATAATCAACAACAATGTTGACTACTAACATTTAAATATCGAAAACTTCAGGCCAAAATAAATAAATATCGAAAATATTTTCATTGAATTGTAACTCAGATCAAAATTCAGATAATCCAGGCATGTCTCAATGATGCAGATTTGCATTGCCATTTGTCAGCTACTGCCAAAAGCCACCGATCAAATTCAATAACCGAAAAAAAAAACAGAGAAAAAGAAAGAAGGAAAGGAAAAAAGGAAAATTGCAGCCATCTATTTCCCTCGAATTCTTTTAAAAAAATACAAAGTAAAACAATTATTCAGTATTAATTCAATTCACTTTATCTCTCATATTTTTCTTATTTTATCAAGGTAGTTCTTATAGTAATAGTAGTTCTAACCAATATGCTTGATTAACAGAGATATTTTAGGAAAGACAATACTTATTTATTACAAATAACTAACTTAACTAATTTCTTTAATCTACTCAAATTAGTTACTCTTCTAGTTCTATTTATACAGCAGAGAGAAGACATTTTTTGGCCCCCTTCATAGGACGTTAAGAGAAATTTTTTGTATAGACATACAATTTTACCCTCCATTTTACCCTCCACTTTATCTCTTATATTTATCTAATTTTATCAAGATAGTTATTGTAATAATAATAGTTCTAACCAATATGCTTGATTAACAAAAATATTTTAAAAAAAATAATACCTATTTATTACAAATAACTAATTTAAATAATTTTTTTAATTTACTCAAATTAGTTACTCTTCTCATTCTATTTATAAAGTAGAAAGAAGATATTTTTTGGTTCTGTTTATAGGGCATTGAGAGAATTTTTTTGTATAAATATATAATTTTACCCTCCATTTATTATTGTACTGATTTTGTTTATATGAGGTATAATATATATTAAATAAAACTAAAGTTAAAAAATTGTTAAACTTTAAATAAAACTTAATAAACTTTAAGATTTTCTTTTTATTCCGGATGAAATATATTGAAAGTCATCTGCAAATATGAGCCGAGGGTAACTAGTTAATATATTAACGATCGAGTTATTCTTTTTGTTATTAGATGGTCAAAACTTGGGGAAAGTAAGTGGGAAAAGGACCTTTTCTCATTCGTTGTTTCGTAAGGCTTTCTCTATCTCCGATTTTCAAATCGGCAATTTCCTTCAACTCGGTTCTTCCCAATGCCGAAAAATTCGATTTTCCAGTTCTCTTCAATTTCGCTCCTGTACCTTTGAAAAGGGAAAAAACATGTTTGGCTCAATGAGAGGAAGGGGAGGGGAGGGATTTTAATGGAAGGAAGGGGAAGGGAGGGGAGTGAAAAGATTTTAATATTATCTTGTTTGGATTTATAAAAAAAGAGGGGAGGGGAGGGAAAAATATTTTAATATGGACAATTTTGCTCTTATTTTATTTAAAGCGTAGGCATAATGGTCACAACATGACAAAATATAAACATAATGATCACAACATGACAAAATATGGGTATAATGGTCATAATATGACAAAATATTACCCTTTCCCTCCAAATTCTCCCAATTTTGGAAGGGAGGTTGAAGAGGGGAGGGGAGGGGAAATTTTAAAATTTTTTCCCTCCCCTCTTAAAATTTGTGTGTTGCCAAACGAGGGAAAATAATTAAAATCCCTCTCCTTCCCTCCTTTCCCTTCCAAAGCCCTCATATCAAACACACCCTGAGAGCTCTTTCCTAGATCCGAAAGAGAGTATTTGGATTCTCCCAGTAACTAAAATGTGCATCATGCCTTAATCTAACTGGGATTCGCCATGGTAGAGGAACTGGATCGGAAAAAAGACAGATTCTAGTTGTAAGATATCTAAGAAAACCATCACTAGAATTGAGATCTCATTCAGAGAAAGATATCAAATATCTAGAGTTCTTTTCGTATATTATATGGATAATCCGATCTGACCATGACTGGGAGTTGTTTGATTTAAAAAAAATACAATAAAATAGATGAAGAAATTCGTCCACCCCCTGCATATTTTATAAGTTCTCCCAGAAAAAAACCTGTAAGACCCACTTCATTTGGAATTCCATCAATTATTCGTCTATCAAAAAAAAGAATTTAGTTTAGCTAATCTTCTTATATTATTAATTAAAGACATTCTATATGTTTCGGGTAGCAACAATTTGATTCTGCTAATCAATTTCTCCATGCTTGTTCTGTCAATCCCCGTAACCTTGGAAGCGAAATTGCTGGGAAAGGATAGCGACTGCCAGAAATGGTTGCAAAAACCGGTCCTCATATTCGGCATATGCATCATGGTGTTGTCGACGATAGGTCTGATTGGAGTTTGCTGCAGCGCCACCGCCTGCCTCTGTATCTACCTGTTTCTGATGAATCTGATCATCATTGCGTTGTTCGCCTTCAGTGTCTTCTTGTACGTGATTACCCATAAAGGGGCTGGGGAAACTGTGTCTGGATTAGGGTTCGAGGAGCAAAGGCTTGGCGATTACTCCACCTGGTTGCAGAGGAGAGCAGAGAACATCGATAATTGGAATAACATCAACAGTTGCTTGCAGCGAGCTCAAGTCTGCGTTAAATTTTACGCCGATCATCAAAACGACACTGTTTAATCTTTCCATCAACCAAATTTATCTCCGATTCAGGGTGGTTCTTCATTTTGATCTACTTTCTCATCTAATTATCCCACCCTTGCGTGTTTGTGTTAAAGGATATCACATTGCGGTGCATCCTTATAAAATAAATTTTTTTTTTTTTGCCTGAATAACATAACACACTTGTATTATTGATGGAAAAAACTAAAGTACGAATCACAAAAGCTTACCGAAGACAAAGGCAGCAAAGTGCAAAACAAACTTCCTTCAGATTAACAGAAACAGACCAATGCATATATATATAACGATGTTATACATTTTAACACCATCTTATTGTGACATGCACAATGTTTTACTATATAACAAACCAATACAAATCCACCTCAATTTTATGAAAAACGATGTTATATATTGTGGTACGATTTATATTTTATTCTTCTCATGTTCAAAAATTTATATCCTTAAAGTTCTTGATGGTACGTATTCTCTCTTTTATAGAGTTAAGGTTCTAACTATACACTTTCACAATTTCATTCTTTGTCTCTCTCTGAACTTTACAAGAACTTTCCAATGTAGAATTTTAAAGAATATTTACACCATCCTTAAAATTTATGGAGGTTAATTAAGAATCTCTGCGCCGCATGCACTTAATTGCCCTTTGAAATGAAAAGTCTCCTATACTTTTTTTTTTTAACTGACATTGTTTAATCTATTGTTCTATACCATTTGAGCTGTAAAAAAGGTGATCTTAATATATAACACAGGATTAATTATCATTGTACTGGGAACTGTTTATGCTGTGGCGTTTGAAACTTGTTCAAATATTTGACGATAACTTGTTGCTCTAATAATATATAATGATTAGAGAACATGGTGATGTTTGGCTGAATTTGTGCAGTCAGGGTGTTGTAAGCCGTCAAGAATTTGTGAGTTCGAATACGAATCGCCAATGGTATGGAATAAGCCAGAAAATGGTACGTCTTCAAATCCAAATTGTAATGCATGGGACAATAATCCTAACGTTTTGTGCTTCGATTGCAACGCATGTAAGGCTGGAGTGCTGGACAACATTAGGAATAGTTGGTTTAATGTTTGTGTTGGGAACTTCACTCTCATCATTATCCTATGGTTGATTTATTCCATTGGATGCTATGCTTACAGAAATGACCGAAGGGAAGAACTCAACAGACGTTATTTTATACGGTACTAGAATAATAATTCTGGGGTATGTGTAAATATACTCCTCCGGTCTTAAATGTAAGACCCATTTAACTAATTTGATTAGATTAAGAAAATTAGGTAAGTTAGTTAATTATAAAAAAAGTGACACATTTTTCCTAAAACACCATAATCATCTTTTTTAATACCTCATCTCCCTCTTCTATTTGATTATGGTTGAGGGAGTATCTATAGGGATAATTTAGAGAAAATTGATAAATATAATAAATGGGTCTTATATTTAGGACCAAAACCAACTCAAGAATTGAGTCCTATATTAAGAACCGGAGGAGTACTAGCGTCTGATGCTTTGTAATATAGCTTCCTTGAAAAGTTCTGATTGTGTGCAGTGAAAAGCAAAAATGGATGAACTCCACACACCCAACAGTATCATACATGTTTTATATAAATATATATATATATATATATATTTATATATGATTGAGCTACCTTGGGTTTGAAGGTGGATAGACTTTCCATAGATTCAATGTATCTTGGTTGTCTATGGGAAAATAAAAAATACTACTTTCGGTCTTAAAGAGCTAGATGATTAATTTGAATAGACACTACAAGAAATTGTAAAAGTAGCAGCGGAACCTTTCTAGCGGTTAAAGAAAACCGCTAGAAATTTCAGATATTTCTAGCGGTTCCTACAAAAACCGCTGCAAAATACAGACGGTTTGACCATTAAACGCACATTTCTAGCGGTTACCCCCTAACCGCTAGAAAATTAGAGCTAGAAAACTTCCCGGGCTTTGGCGGGAACTTGGCGCCAAATTTGTAGCGTTTACTTTCTAGCGGTTCAGGCTAATAAACCGCTAGACACTGAAAAATTCTAGCGGTTGATGCATGAAGCGCTAGAAATTTTTTTCATTCCCCGAGGAGTTTAGAAATTTCTAGCGGTTCGCGGCCGAACCGCTAGAGATCTCTAGCGGTTCGGCCGCGAACCGCTAGAAATTCCCAACGGTCATATGACCGTTGGGAATTTCTAGCGGTTAGGCACAAAACCGCTAGAAATTTCTAGCGGTTTTGTGCCTAACCGCTAGAAAGTTTCGGTCTATATATACCCCCCCCACACTCTCACTTCTTCAATCGTTCTGGAAGCGAAGCTCTGCTGAATTTTCTTCACAAACATATTTGAGTTCTGATTCAGTTGCAGATCCTTATTTTCAGGTAAAAATAGTAATTTATTGATAAATAATTTTTATTTTATGTTTTATTTTATTAATTTTATTATGTTATAGCTTATAAATTAATTTTTTTATTTCATTTATAAATAATTACTATTTGTTGTTATTAGGATGCCTCGTCGACATGGGAAAGACCCAGTTGATCCTGAGAGAGCTGGACCCAGTGAGGTTCATCATGATGCTGATGAGCCATTTCCCAGCATTCATGACTACGATTTGAGCGAGGAGGATATCCTCAGTTTTATGGAGCAGGATGGTATTGAGCGGACTGAGGAGGCTCATTTTACTGGGGATGAGCAACCCCATGCTGATGCTGCTGACGAGGAGGAGGAGGAGGAGGAGCAGCAGGATCAGGGGAATGAGTATCCCCAGGCTGCACAGCGTCCTGCTCCGAGACGTCAGGCTGGTTATGAGGTGGAATTTGTCGGTAAGTATTTATTTTAACTTTTTAAAGTTTTGATCAGTATTTAATTTATATAGAAATTATATTAATTTATTGATATATAATTTATTTCTTAATTAAATTTTGTAGACACTGAGGGGAACAGGTCCTATCGGAGGCTGACAGCCAGAGAGCTGTCTATGATGACGGGCGGACGAGTGGTTGTGCCGCTCAATGAGTTGGGCCAACCGACGAAGAAAGGTGGCCAGTTGTACAACAAGTACGTGCGCCTCCTTGGTCAGCAGTGGACGCTGTTCCCCATCTACGTGCAGGACTGGAAGAAGATCACCTCAGACAAGAAGCAGCAAGGCTGGGAAATAATGAAGGTAATATAAAATTGTTATTTATAATTTTTTTTAATTTAAATAAATGATTATATATTTTGTTTTCAAATAATTTAATTGTTTGATTATAATTTTTTATTTATTTAATTTGTTTGTTATTTATAATATTTTTAAAAGTAGTTAAATGAATATATATTTTTAATTTAAATTATTTAAAGTAGTTAAATGAAAATAATTTGTTATTGATTTCATTAATTTATTACTTATAATAATTTTAAATTTAGTTGAGTAAAAATATTTTTTTTTTAAATTACTTAATTGTTTAATTATTATTAAACTTTGATTAATTTATATTTTATTTATAATATTGTTAAATTAGTTAAAAACTAATTATTTGTTTTTAATTATTGAAATTGCTTAATTATTTGTTTATAATTTGTTATTTAGTTAATTTATTATTTTAATCATAGAGTAAATTTATTCTGGGGGAGGAGTTGAGGGCTGACACGATCAAGAGGCTGGGGATGGCATGGAAGAACAGGAGGGCCGACCTGTGGAGGGAGAAGAAAGGTGACGGGACGAGGCCCCTCCAGGAGATACTGGCAGATGTACCTGGTGGAGTCCCGGACCAAGACTGGTCCACTTACGTCTATTTTAGGATGACGGCTGACCAGATGGTATGATAATATTGTATTAATTATAATTTCTTTATTTTTTATCCGACTTGACTCATTTAATTTAATTTTTTTACATTTTGCTTCAGGCTCTTTCTAGGAGAAATGCTAGGAGCGTCAGGCATCAGACGATACGTCATAGGGCTGGATCCAGGAGCTTTGCGATCACTTATGACGAGATTGTGAGTACTTGAAATAAATTTATTAAATATGTAGATGTATTTAATTTGTAACTAATTATTTCTTTGATTTCATTTACAGATAGAAAAGACGCAGCAGGAGCGGGGATACACGCCCACTTATGGCGAGATGTGGCCGATGGTGTATAGACCCCGAGACGGGCGTGCGTCGGATGAGGTTGAGGAGATAGCGGTAAGTAATAAATTAAATATTAATATAATATCACAGTGTAGATATCATTATATTATAATTAACTTCTTTATATTAATTTTGGTAGGCACGGATGACTCAGGTCGATTCCGAGTTGCGTGAGTCTCAGGGGTCTGCCTTGGATCCCACCGCCTCACTTTTAGCGGGTCTTGGCCGGCCGCAGCACCCTGGTCGAGTTAGCGGGCTTGGACTTGGACCTACACCGACTAGGCTGCCCCGCTCAAGTGGCGCTGGCCCTTCATATACTGCTGGGAGCTCTCATGCGAGTGCGAAGCGGCCGGGTTCCTCATCTTCAGAGGAATTGCGAGAGGAGCTCAGACAAGAGTTCGAGGCCAGGATCGTGGAGCGTGATCGTCAGTTCCAGGAGCGTGATCGTCAGCTCCAGACGCAGCTTGACCAGCTCTTGGCAGCTGCTACGGCTCTGCGTCATGTGGTGGTCAGTATAGCTCCAAACATCTCGGTTCCTGACATCCCCGACCTACACATGCCACCAGTCCCGCCCCTACCCCCCATCCGCCAGTCCAGTCCCAGCAGGTTGAGCGGCCTGCCCACCGTCAGCCGGAGGATTCAGCAGAGGATGATCCCGATGATGCTGCTTCTGCCCCCCACCCATGATTTGCTTTCATTGTATCGGATTTTATTAGAATCTTAATTTTACGGTTTTATATATTATTTAGATATTTATCTAAATTTTATATTTATTTGTTTCCTTTATTGATTTATTTCTATAATTTTATTTATGTCAAGTACTAATTAATATTGAAATATTTATTTATTTATTACAACATCAACATTACAATTTATTAAACACGTTAAACAT